GGATGGAAACAGTGCTGTGGCCTGCACGACAAGTGAAGACAGGCCATCTATGTATCTAAGTAAGTATTAAAAGTTTATTAGTAGAAGCTTTGGCATTTTGGTTATCTACTAGTACGTTGTTTTGATCAATTTCCTACTCTTTTTGAAAGTTCATATGCCATTCTTCGACGATGAGATAGGGCCTCTTACAAGAAAAGGGATGCTATGCTAGTGCTACAAGAAACTCAAAATCAAGTCCAGCTGCACATCTTTGAAGAAAGTAATTCTTTCTGCCGCTAATCTTTTTGCATCAAAATGGGGAAATTCGTAGGTTTCTGTAAAAGAAAGTTTCGTACAAGTTTAAAAGCACTTCAAGTTTTAGTGCAATATAAGTGCCGGTTAGATGAGCAATCGATTATTTTCGATTCTTCTTCAAAATTTAACTTCGAAATTGCTTGTAAAATAGCCATTGCATACGTACTTTACATCTACGATACTTAAAATGAAGTGGATTTGCAAAATCACGCTAATTCTCAAATCCGTAATTTGCAGACGTCCAGCAGTTTCAGTGTGTGCACAGGAATCTCCTTACGACTCGGAACTTGCGAGTCATAGGGAGATTCCAGTGCGCACCTAAATTTGATTTACCATGTCTGCAAATCTATAAATGTGCACTACAAGTTGAAATGGAACGAAATGATTTACTCTCTGTATTCGCTAAGAATAAGACTAGCATTTGTGCCACCAAAACCAAATGAGTTTACAATCGCAATCCTAGGGGTAGTCCAGTCTTTGACATCTCTCAAAAGCTCTAGCCCATCATCATCATCTGACTCTGTAAGATTTAAATTCGCAGGTAATTTCTTTTCACAAATCGCTGCTACAGTCGCAATCGCTTCAACAGAACCAGCGGCAGCAAGAAGATGACCGATGTGCCCTTTTATGGAAGAGACTGTCAGTTTTCTATTTCCGTAAACTTCTCGAATCGCTAGTGCTTCGATTGTGTCTCCGGTTGGTGTGGACGTCGCGTGTGCATTGACATACGTCACATCATCGGGTTTAATTTTAGCATCGTGAAGGGCTCGCTGCATTGATAGTCGGGCTCCAATTCCAGATGGATCTGGGCTCGAGATATGATAGCAGTCGGAGGAGATGCCTAGAGAAGCGTTTGCAACTGACTGTAAGCGATAATACAAGTGACTAACCGTAGCCAATCACTTCAGCGAGAATAGGAGCAGCTCTATCGAGAGCATCCTGAAAAAATGCAAAACTTACTATTGATGACAAGCAGATTATTTAGCTCCACCTACTTGTAATCGCTCCAGTAGCACCAGTCCAACGCCTTCACTAAGAACAAAACCGTTTCTCTTTTTGTCAAAGGGACAACTGCACGAAGGGTCCTTTCCGTGAGACAAAGCTCGCATTCTGAGAAGAAACAGAAACCCCTCTTGTGATAAATCCCTATCGAAAATTAGACGACTGTTCGAAAAACCAAGCACTTAATCCTTAGAAGAAAGATCTGCACCTCTCGCAAAGTACACCAGGTAATAAAGTGCTCCAGAAATTGGTCCCTAGAAGTCTTTCTTATGGCTTGAGACATTCATTGAATGACCATCAACGTCAATTTTGCAAACTAAAATTAGATCGAATGCTAATTTATGTTAGGATAGCAACAAATGGCTTTTGAATTCATTATAGGATTTCCAAATAGCATTGCAGTCATTGTCAGTGACTACTTCGCCAGCTTCATCTTCATCTTTTCTATAATTCCTTCCTTTGAAATTTTACGATCTGGTTGAATTCATAGAAACGTAACATTTTTTGAATGTAGTCGCTTTGAAAAATGAAGTTAATTTCTATTTGAGCCTCTAATCAAAGAATAGAAAGTTTCAAATTTTAACAATAAAAGTCCTAGACACTGGCGCCCTAACTGTTTAAAACAATGTTCTCCAGTACCTGTCAAAACCAGTCAAAGCTATAGCATTAACGCAAGCCTCTGTGCCTCCGGCTATAGCGCGCCTCGCCCAACCATGTCGCACGGATCGAAAGGCGTTTCCTGGAGTAGGTATAATTATAGAGCGAATCAGAGTTGCGAAAATGTACCTACAAGAACATACCAAGGCAATGCAGCCCAGTTGCACATGCTGTCGTTGCACTTTCTGCTCCTCCCATCATTCCATATCTAAGTGATAAATGATGGGAATATATACATATAAAGTCTACGCAGAAATTGTACAATATAATGAAGTTAGCAAGCTGAAATAAACTCACTTCATTGCTACATATCCAGCTGGCATGTTAGTCAGAATTTTCGGAACGAAGTACGGCGAGACTTTTCTAAGAAGATA